AAATGGTAATGTGGCTGTCAGGTCCCGGTGAGAGATGGAGACCCCTCGTGGGGCTGCGCGCAGCTCCCTCCCTCCCTCCCTCGGCGAGGGTTTGGCTACGTGGGAAGGATTTATTTGGCATAATCCGTTCTTTTTTCCCAATTAATAATACTCATACCACCTCCTAAAGATTTCTGAGGGCTCTGCAAACACGAATTTAGCTGCATGAAAGGCCGGAGCTGGGAAGGCTTGATTGTTCTCCGGGCGCGGAGGTGGGGGGGTTGGCCGCGCTGACACTCACCCGCTGGCCGGTGGTGGAAAGAAGCCCCAGGAGCCCGGACCCCCAGCGTCTTGCCATTCAGGCTGGATGTGGAGGCTGCCTGGCCCGGATCCCCCCTGACTGCGAGGTGGGGGCGTAGCTCGTGCTGTGTTCCCACCCCACCTGAGGCCTGTGGGTGGAGAAGTTGGTTCACTCTTGAGATTTTTTTTGGCGGGGGGCGGTAGCATGTCTGCATAACCAGCCCTTCTGTAAGAAGCAGAGGTGCACCAGGCAGGGGAGCCAGGCTCTCACCTCTTCCTTGCAACTGCTCTCTGAATTACCTCCCCCACATCAAATGCTGCCTCTGACAATAGGGGGTTGAGAGCTTTTATTTGTGTGTGTTTTCCCTCCCCTCTGTTTCCTCTTCATCTCTAATGCCAGCATCAGCCTCCCTAGGGGATACCTCTGAGACTGGGCTCCCTGCTAGAGGGGACAGCTCGCAGGAGCTGCGGATTCTTGCCCCAGGCGCCCAGGGAAGGGGGCCAGGAGGGAACCTGAGTCTGGGCTGCTGCCTTGGGAGGGCCAGGCTGCCCAGGATTAGGCCAGGAGTGTCATCTTAAAAGGTTTGTCCCATGGATGGGCATGGGAGAGCCCCCAGGGGAGAGATGCTTAAGAAAGGTCAGCTGGCATCTTTCCAGGATCCTTGGAGGCCGGAAAGGGGCTTTACAACCTGTCAAGTGAACTTTTGGTCTCAGAGCTGGAAAATCCTATATATAATGCAATCATAATAACAAGCAACACCTATAACGCACTTTCTCTGTGCTGGGATCTGCCCTTATCAAGAATCTACCTGTTTACTCTTTTTTCTTTTTATAGCTTTTTCTTGGGGGTGGGGGAGGTAATTAGGTTTATTTATTTAAAATTTTTTTCTTTCAAGTGGAGGTACTGGGAATTAAACCCAAGACCTCGTGCATGCTAAGCATGCACTCTACCACTTAAGCTATTACCCCCCCCCTTTACTTTACATTACCTCCCTGTGAGGCCAGGGCTATTATTATCCCATTTTATAGATGGTGAAGTTGAAGCACAGAGAGCTTAAGTGACTTGTTGGAGGTCGCACAGTTTGGATGTGGAACTGAGATTACGACCTGGGATTGCTCATGATCCCGTTGGTGCAACAAACAGGGAAGGCCTGCAGACCTGCTCTGCGGGGCTGTCTCAGAGGACGGCAGTAAAGAAATTATGTTTCTTATTGGAGCAGCACCTACAGATCTTTGCCCCAGGGGGCAGGAGACTGAGAACTTGCTCTCCCCGGGATTTGGGGAGAGGGACTGCCAGCGGCAGGCAGGCCGGAAGTTTCTTTGAAGTCTCATTTTATCTTAAACAGTCATGCAAATTTGGCATTCGCTCTGGCGACAGGGCTGTGTTTATTTTGAAATGAAAACATGGTTTTGAATGATTTAGCATGGCGTATAAGGACTCCAGAGAGCTGCATCAGAGGAGCGCCCGAATGAACGCTGGCAGGCAGCCCTTGTAGCTGGAGACCCTGAGAGGTCCTGGGGCAGGTGGCAGCTTCTTCCCGTTTTATAGAGAAGGGCGCAGGTCAGAGGTGCCAGGCCAGCCCAGGGTCGTGTGATGGTGTGCCTTTTGCTTATGCTGACTGAAATCATCATCATTCTTATCTCTCCTTTAGACCAAAGTGAGGCTTTTCTGTCCTGGCACTACCACACTGCCACGCCCAGCTGGGTTCAGGCTAGCCCTGAGGGAAGGCTCTTTCGGTTCATAGATCCATAAAGAATCATCCTAAACCAACAGTAGAGCACAGTCTGGGAGTGTTTTGTCTGAGACTCGCACCACTGATCATTGTGAGTTCTGGTGAATCCCCCCTTAGCCATGTACAAGCAGAGCACCCAGGGGCCAGTCCCTGCCCCTCTCAGAGTTTGGGTGCCCTAGTCTGTAAAATGGGCACGTTTCTTACTGGAGTGGTGGGATGGAGGAGAGGATTAAAGGGCAGAAAGCGAGAGCATTGGGTTTGATGTTCAGCTCTGCAGTTTTCAAGCTGTGTGACCCTGGGCTGGTTACTTAACTTCTCTGAGCCTCAGTTTGTTCATCTCTAAGGGGGGATAATGATGGAGATAATGATACTTCTGATTTTATTGTTATGAGGACCGGATGGATGTCACAATATGCCACAGGAACTGCTGTTATTTTGGGTTTCCCCCTACCCACTCCACCCCCAGTTGAAGGGGGAAGAATTTATAGTCCAACCCATTCCTCCCTCTAGGAGCTGCTGGGAAGGATCCTCTAATGGAATAGTCTCTTTACCTGAGCCCCAGGCCTGGACTTGTTGCCCTCTGGAGACAGCGGGCTCCTCTCCTGTTGGGTTGGTTGGTGATTCTCAGATGTGCCCAGCTCTTCCCCCTGCCCATGAAGGCTGAGGTTTTTCATTCTGCCTTTAATGCCCCAGTGCCTGTTGGGAGCCGAACTTGGGAGGACTTGGACACCCTGGACAGTGTGGGGAGGACTGGTGGGGAGGGTGCAGGGGGCCCCGCTGGAGGGGAGGGCTGAGCGTCCCCTTCTCCTGGGGTCGGGGAGGTGAGGCTGGTTCTAGAAAAGGCTTTTCTGAAGTCAGGCTTGAGTTCCAATCCTGCTTCCCTCAGTTAAAAACTTGAGCGAAGCCTCTGACCTTCTGGCCTCAGTTTCTTTATCTTTAGGTGGGGAGTGGGTGGGTGGAGAATAATGCCCCGCTCAGAGGACCATGCTTAGCTGCACTGTCCAATCACTTACAGCGATGGTGGCAAATAAATGTTCTAGGAGCTTTGCTGTCCCGAATCGTAGCCACTAGGTGCATGTGGCCACTGAGCACTTGAAATGTGGCTAGTGTGACTGAACTGGTAATTTTATTTCATTTTAATTAACTTAAATTTAAATAGCCACATGTGGCTGTGCCTGATGGCTGCCCTAATCAGAAGGCACAGGGCTGGATGATGCAACAAGATTCTGTGTATGAGAGCAGGGCATCTTAGCGTCTGATTTTCTTCTTTTTCTCTGCCCGGTGCCAGTGTAGTCCTGTCATCTAGGAGGGTCACCCCTCTTCCTGCGGTCCTGTTTCTCACTAAGCTTGGGCGCTCTCCCCTGTGCTGGCCAGGCTCCTCCGCCCTCCGCCTGCCTCCTCTTGGCCACCTTCCTAATTTCCCCATCCCCTGCCGTCCCTCAGCCTCCGGGAAGTTCATCCCGGAGACCTTTCTGTGATAGTGTGTGAATGTTCTAGATCTTTCCTGTCGGTCCAACACCTTCGCCACTCTCCACGTGTGGCATTGAGCACATTGGGATCAGAGTGTTACTTGCTACTTACTTTTAATACATTTAATACATTCCCTGCTCGTGGGCGCAGCGCCTCTTGGACAGCTTGGCCTTAGTGCCTTGCCTTGTCTGTTGACCCCGGGCCCAGCGCCAGTATTCAGGCCACTGGCTGAGCGCTCTCACCCTTTCTGGTCCTTCCAGGCCACTGTCTCTGAGACTGGGGTGCTGGCTCAGTGTCCCCCACTTTCTTCCCCAGCTGTCATTTCTCCAGCACATCATCTCTCCCACTGAGGGCTGAGCTCCGGGACCTGGGCCTCGGACTCGGGCTCCGAGGGATCCTGGGTTCGCAGGGGCGATGCTCCGGCCTCTCTGCAGGTGTCTGTTTCCGCACGTGCAGGTACGTGGGGAAGGCCCGCTTCCCGTAGGGGCCGCCACGGTCCATATTTTTCTGCTATGAATGAACACATTATGGGCATCTTTCCATACAGAAAACAACTAGATTAACTTTTGAGGGGGGATAACATTGCTTTTTATTTATCATTTGAAAGAAATACAGAAAAGCAAAAAGCAATGCCTTCCAACGGGCTTTGTAAAAACTTATCTTAATAAAAGAAGAAGCATGGTCTGTTGAAAAATGACAGCAGAGCCCAGAGGTGTCGAGGGAAGTCTCCTTCCCGCTCCTGCCCTCCCGTTTCCGTCCCCTGAGGCGGAGACACACGGGCAAAGTTTCCTCTCCGAGATAATCTGGCCCCATGCCCGCCTCAGGGACTCGGACGTGTGTGTTCCCTTTAAAAACAAACGCAAGTAGTATCATACCGCATTCACGTCTTACTTTCCTCCTTTAAATTATGATGTATCTTGGAGTTTACTCTGGAACCAAGAGGCCAGGGGTGAGTAAACGAAGGCCCACCTCCTGTTTTGATATGGCACGCAAGCTGAGAGTGGTCTTTACACTTTTTGATGGTTGAAAAAATAAAAAGAATATTTTGTGACATGTGAGCTTCGGTGAGACTCAGATGTCAGTGTCCATGAAGGAAGGTTTACGGGGGTACAGACGTGAGCGTTCATTCATGCATTGTCTGGGGCTGTTTTCAGTCTACAGCTGCAGAGTTAGGGAGTTGTGACAGAGGCCAGAGGCCTTCAAAGCCTAAAATATCGATTTTCCTGCCCTTTACAGAAAACATTTGCCAACCCCTGTAATAGAGCTACTTTATTCTTTTTAACTTCAGCATAAGGTTCCGAAGTGTTCACTGCTGAGGAAGCTGGGGACTGAGAGGACTGAGTTTGAGGGTCACACTGAGCAGGCCTTAATACCCCTCTTGCTGGCCTGGCTCACTGTCCTTGCTGAGTTATGTGGTGCTACTATAGGGTGCAGTAGGAAAGTGAGCATGGTTGAGGCAGCAGGTAGTCGGGCTGGCTTTTGGCATGATTTTTTTTGTCTCTTAGATGATGCTCAAGGCTATAATCCTTTCTGTACAGGGCCACAGGGTTGTTGTAGCACCTTCTGTGTGATGCTACCTCGTTTTCACAATTTTTGCAAAGTCACTTAGAAGCCATCTTGTTTCCCTCTTTGCTTTGGCTGTTAGGAAGCTCAGAGCCAGATTTGCAGCCTGCCTTCAGTAATCTGTTCTGGTCTATGTTTTGGTTTTCCCTACTTCATCCTGACTTAAGTCAGTTTGCCCCTGATTTTTCTGTTTTGTCTTGACCTTTCTCTGATTTTTATCTTATCATAGGCATTCCTGAAAGTTGTCTCAGTTCTTGAGAGGTAGGCAGGAGTAAAGAAAAGGAAAACACTTGCAAGATCTTTCGCCTTTGTTTCCCCTGAGCACCTGTGGGGTGTTGGGGGGGTGGTCTCCTGACAGATGATTCCAGGAGGAAAGCAAGGCCTGGCCCCATGGACGCAGACCCTGGGCAAGAACTGGGGTCTTTGGTTATCCCTCTTGAATAGAACTTGGGAAGATGACAGGGAGTGACTTGGAAGGTGAAGGATCCCTTCTGGAGGCCAGGGGCCCTTGTGAGCCACTTGGCCTGACGGAAGGCTCTGGGTAGGTGACGAGCTTACCACTCCTGGGTGGAATGTCCCTTCCGTCTGTCCTGTATCCGGGGCCCAGGGCTCTTGGAATCTTTGTGGCAGTGCTGCGGGTGTGTCCACTCTCCAACCCTTGTGCTCTGCTGATACGATCAGATGTTTCTGCTTCCTTCTGCTGACCTCGGGGTATTTCTGTGAGTTGGAGGGGAAGTGGGAAAGAAAGTAAACCACGGGTGGAATCAGATGAGAACTGGCGTGCGTGCGTGGGGGTGCTTCCCAGGGGCCGGTGGCTCAGGCTCTGCCTCCCGTCTCCTGGGGGTTGGTTTGGTTTTCGGTGACGTGTGTTTGTGTTTTAGGGCTTGTGGACAGAGTTTGAATGAGCCACGGGACAGAGTCTGGTGTCTGCCTCTTGCTGACTGTGCAGTGCAACCTAGGACTAGTAATGGAGCCTCTGTGCAAAAGCACCTCAGTTTACCCACCAGTGAAATGGGTTGATGAATAACATACGGCCTTGGAGGGGATGGTGGGGCCATTTGAGGCGTGAGCCAGTCCCACAAGCCGTGTCCTAGCCCTTCTCCTCTCTGTCCATGGCTCTAAACCCGTGGAGCCCACCCCAGGGCCCCGCAGGTGGATCCAGCAGCCTCTTTCCCATTGCTCATGGGATGTCCCAAAGGGGCCTCAGCCCTGACCTGTCCCGAAGTGGACCCACAAGTCCCCCTCATCCCGAGACCGCCAGCCTGAGCTTCCTCCCTGAGTGTGGGGCCAGGCCAGGTGCCCCCTCCCCCCCCAGTGCCTGCAGTAGCCTCCTCCCTGGTCTCCCAGCGTCCGTCCTGCCCCCGCAGTCCCTTCCCTGCGCGCAGCTGCTGGGTGGGGCCAGAGTGGGTAAGTGACCGGACCTTACTCAGAGCCCCGTGAGCCCGCAAGGCTTCCTGGCACTCCTTGCACGAAACCCAGACCCTTCTCACCTCCTTGGAGGCCTGTCTGCTCAGGCGCTCGCCGACCTCTGACCTCCCCTTGGCCAGCCACCCGTGCGACAACTGTGTGCTCAGTTTGGGGAGCGGGATGGGGAGACTTCGGGCCAGGCAGGCCTTGGGGGGTACGTGGGGGGAGCGCAGGAAAATTTCTTCGTGTCCCAGGGGGTCTCTCTGGAGACGCCGGCAGTCAGAAGTTCCCGAGGCCACGCCTCGTGTGGAGGGGGTGTCTCGGGGGCCCTGCTTGTCCTCACGCTGAACCCCGGTACCCGCCGCAGACCCTCCGGGAGCATCGCCCAGTGCTGCGGCGCTGTCTCCGTGGCCATGGCAACCGCCTGGCACCGGGGCCCTGCTCGTTAGGCTAACGAGGCAGGCCTGCTGGGCCGAGGTGGGGGGCCGGGGACGCGCTGCCCCGGGGCTCAGCTGGGCTTGTCTGCCAGGCCACGCACGGGACCAGGCGTGGAGCCAGGCGTGGAGCCGGGGCCCTGGAGGGGTGCTGCAAAGCCCAGGTGGAGTCAGGGGCCCCCCGTGGTCGTGGGGGCTTGGGCTGGGTTTGCAGGGTCGGGTCCTGGTGGGCATTATGTGTGGCTGACTCGGGGTAACTCCCGTGACCAGTTAAAGCAGGGGAAGTGGTTGGGAGGTGCCCACTTTCACCCGTGTCCCCCCCTCCCTCAGCAGTGCCGTCTCTGAAATACCCTGACACTGAAATACCCTCCTAGGTATTTTTAACCATTTTCACTTTCCCCTCCTCTGCTCCCTGCACTCCATCTAGGCCACTGTACTGGGGTGGAGCAGTGCACCCCTCCTCCAATTCATGTTCTTCCCAGAACCCCAGAAGGAGACCTTATTTGGAAATAGGGTCGTTGCAGATGTCATTAGTTAAGATGAGGTCATGCTGAAGTAGGGTGGCCTTAAATCCAATATGACGAGTGTCCTTATAAGAAGAGGAGGAGGCCACTTGAAGATGGAGGCAGAGATTGGAGTCATGCGTCTACAAGCCGAGGAACCCCGAGGACTGC